CTTCTTGATGAATATCAAAATATTAAACATACATGAAAGTCATTAATACCTATGTTATTTATAATAGAAATTTTAAAAAAAAATCATATATTATTAATTAAATAAATATAAATTAAGAAAATATGCAATTAAATTTATAACACTATTTAAGTAACTTAAAAAGCAACACTCATATGTGGGTTAGGATATATTTTTTTTATTTAAAAATTACATCTTTGTTTTTCTAAATGTGTGATTCATGAATAATAATAACATATGATATCAATTAAATCATGAATTCTTCCCAACATGTGTTAATTCTAATCCATTTATTAATTCTATGAATTATGAATAATCCATTTTTTCTACTAAGCTCCATTGATAACATATTATATGCTAAAAATCATAATTTTCCAAAACCTTGCTTCCTAGATATATCGTATGTAAGTCTATTATGTATCTGTAAAATTTTAAAATCTTATATTAGTTGATGTAATTACATATTTATTCTTTCTTTTGGATAATATTGCTTACAAATAACAAAAATGAGAAACATTTATGAGATATTCATGTACATCTCTGGACGGAGGTTTCATGATATTTCTTGACTTGTTAGTAAAATAAGATAAAGCAGCTTGACTATATGAAGTAAATTTATCAACTTAAAATTCAAGTTTGATATTTCATGGCTAAAAAATAATTTTATGATTTGTACAGTCAAAGTGTTTTCATGCTTAGCATCTCATGAATGATTTCAAATATTAGTTCAATTATCCTTTTATGTGTCATCTTATATGTTCAGTAAAATGTATTAATACATATAGTTTTTGTAGATAAAAAATAAGCAACTAAAAATTACTTTTAATATGAGATATTCTTCTGTTATGTTGCTTTCTATTTTATGATTTGAATCTAAGTGCTCTACAAAACTAATATCTAATCTCTATTGAATTTTTTTTGTAATATAACATATGAGCATTGGTATAGTAATCTAATTTTTTGCACTCAAAGTCAAAATAAATATCCATTTCATATTCATATATAAGTCTTCCAGCACAAAATTATCTTTTGAATTAGGATTGTACATCAAACCTAAAAACTTACAGAAGCATTCTCAAGAAATATTGAACTCTCTTTTAGTAATAAATATCATCGCTATAATATATAAGTTAGGGGATTAAATGCAACAACAATCCCATAAGACTTGTTGAGCTACATATAAAGGATCAAAGAATTTATGTGCTTCTTTGTTTGGAAGCTCTTCCCTAGCTTCTATAAATTGCTAGCTAGTAGCATCTTATGACATCTCTTCACTTCTGCCAATTTTTCTTTATTTCGTAAATCAGAGCATATAAAAGAATTTCCATGGAAGTTGGCTAATGGTCATACTTGCACTACAAGACCAAATCTAATAATTGAGTTGAAATTCCCTACGATAGAAATCAACCCTAACTTCATCGAATGTTATATACATGAATTTACATATTTGAAATATCAACGTCTAAAATTCCTTCTATAATGATAAATAGTTAGATAGTTAGATAGGAAGTTAGATACATAAAATAATCAATCTCATTGAAAATTTTATCTATTAAAACTTTCATCCAAGTCCTAATCTAGTATACATCCACGATCATTGATTTGAAATCTATATACCTTTAAAATTAGGAAGACTAATAAATATGGTTTATTTAATGCATTATATCAAGCTACAAAATATGCATATTATTATCTAGTCTAATTAATATTCTTATCTATTAAAAAAATCTTTGTTTAATTAGTTTAATGCCCGACTAAAAAAATACCATATATTAAATTCTAAAACCTATGTTAATTATAATTCATCTATCGATTTACAAAAAAAAAAATAAAAAAAAATAATCAAGGTAAAATTAAATACACTAATAAAAAACTATAATTCTAACCAAGGTAACCAAGGATAATGAATTTATAATACTAAACCTATATTTCAATAAAAACAATTGTAATTCTTTCCTTGAAATTTACTTCTACAAGGGAAAGAAATAAAGGTCTATTAAGTTTGCTAAAAAAATTATAAATTTTACAATTCAAAATTAAAGAATATAACATATGAACAAATATATAAAAACTTCTAAAATATATTAATAAAAAAAATATTCTTTTAAATTTATTGAGAGATTAAAAAATGTATGTTTTTTAGAAGTTTTTATGGCATGTATTATATATATATATATATATATATATATATCTATAAGAAATATGATTCTACTCTTTGGATGGTGAAGAAAATAGGTGGTAACAGTGATTTTTCTAACTCATTTCACACCTTAAAAGGCTTACATATGTACACTAGGTTTTCTTGGAGAGGCAATTGTAAAATATTATCAAATTTATTTCATTCCACTTTACTAATGGCTATGCTTCAAGTAAGAGCATGCGGTATAAATATCAGTTAAACAGCAATAATTCTTGTGATTTTCCCCCAAAATAGCACTGATAAACTAAACTTTATATACTAGTTGAATTCTTCTTATTTTGTTACTTTATTCATTAATATTTTATTAGTTTTTCATCAATATTATGTATCATAATAAGAGATGAGGTAACATATCAAGCCTTCTATCCCTTTTTCTATAGATAAATAATAAGAGATTAGTTAACATTCTCATCTTTTTAACATTTTTATACATCTCGTGCTTTTTCTGTACCTCAATCCTATATTTAGTCGAAAAATAGTTGAGAGAACCAAAACTAGCTCCTTATTATCCTCCTTATTTTCTTCAACACCATATGTATACAGTTCCAAACTAAATTGTTGTAAGTGTAAAATTTATATTCAAACTCAATTGATTATTCTGCAAAAAGGTTAGATATTATTTAAATTTTATATAATGATAAAAAGCTACTTCAACTCCTTGGAAGAGGGGACAAAATAACAACTAATTATTTTCGTAAATAATTTTCTTATAATGCAACCATTATAGTCGCTTTTAAAATATGTGATGCTTGCCTTGTTTTTCAAAACTTTAATTGAGATATGCTGAGGCAGAGAATATTTTATAGAATTTTAAGAGTCCTTTTCATTACCTCTATATAAATCAATGTTGGATAAATAATCACTTACTAGGAATAATTTAAAGAAGGCTTGGTAGTTAACTTACCATTTAAACTAACATTTATAATATAATTCTTTACATAAAACTTGCATCTCCATTCATCATTAGTGGAAAAATATTTTTTCCCAAACACATTTATTAATCTTTTTTCTTAACTTCCTCTTGAAGTTTTTCTATCAGTTTTTTATTGACTTTATAAGACCAATATTATAACAATATATACAACCTAATGAGTTGAATAATTTTCTTCAATAAAATAGCCTCATAATACACTATATCATTTTTTATCTCTTTTAATGTTCTCTCCCATAATAACTTGCCCAATGAGCTCAGCCTCAACTTAGGCAACCCATCTCAGCAAAAATAACACTACATTTATCATAGTTGGGCAAGATATCCTCTATAAGATAATACACAATAAATCCTCTTAATGCTCCATATGCATGTTCTATCCTAGGAAAATTTTTTTAAGATATTATCAACATTTAAGTAGTAATCTAACAACCTATTGTTTATAACTATCTTGAATTTATTATATGGAGTTTTTTTTTTAACTTCAACGCAATAATAAGAACAAATGTTAAAAATAGAAATATTTTGTTGTTATTTTCAATGATGACCACAATTGAGCATCCCCTCATTTTTTTCATCATTGACCATCTTTAACTCTCCATAAATATGACTAAAGTAGACATCCACATATATGACATCTTAAATGAGCTAATTTCATATAACATAATATGACAAAATTAAAAGCACAAATCATATTTAATCCATGCATGAACCATATTTAAGATTGAACCTTCTTTAAGCCATAGTTAAGCTGTATTCCTGCCATATTAAAATCTAGTTCAAGCCTTAGCCAAACTGTCTTAAAAAGTTTTGTAATTTTGCTCAAGCCTAGTTCCAACAATGTTCAAATGAACCATATTAAAATCTAGTTCAAGCCTTAGCCAAACTGTATCGAAAAGTTTTGTAATTTTGCTCAAACCTAGTTCCAACAATGTTCAAATTTACACAAATCATATTCAAATTTTATTCAAATAAGTTTAAATCTTATTAAAATTTTTTTTTTTCTCCTTCCTTGAAAGTTTGAAGAAAGTTTGAACATGTTTGCCATATTTAATATGGTGTATAGTGCCAATTTGGTTTTAGGATTTAGAATGCAAATGCTGAAATCAATTTTAAGTAGCTAAAGATGCAATATGTTTAATTTTGAACATATGAAATTGGAATGTCGAGCGCGTTATTGTAGTGTCTAATATCATTATAAAATTAGTAGAGGCTGAAAAGATGTTGGGATAAAGTTCATGAGTTGTGAGCATTCAAGCAACTCTTGAATTCTAAGTTTCACATCACCACTGAATGAGAATTTTGACTCTTATTTAATAAAAGTAATTTGTTCCCAAATAAAAATTTCTAACACATTTTCTTAAGGAAATGAGGAAGAAATATTTTTTTAGAAATTAAGGGTATTATGTGGAGTAAAATTTTCTCTAAGGGTCATTTGATCGACAGAAAAGTAATGAAATGTAAAATGAATACAATGCACATGCAATGTATTGTATTTGAAATATTTTGGAGTTGTTTGATTCATTGTAAAATAAACGGGCGACTTCAATATTGTTTTTGATTGGTTTGAAATACAATGAGAATAATGTATTTCAATGTAAAGTAATGTATAAGCGACAACAGACGCAGACGGGGGCGGCGAGGTAGAGGTAATGGCTTGTGGGATAGCGAGCTATAACCAAAGATACTTTACATTAAGTAGCGTGCTTTATATACCACAAAATCTAATAAATTCCAAATTTAAGGAAAATAAATTAAAAATTAAAAATTAAATATAATATTATTTTATATTAAATTTAAATTTCTTCCAAATAAAAAAAAAGCATAAATTTGAAATGCTTTGCACCTAATTCGGCCGACAAGCCCACCATTCCCACCAACTGTTGATGCTTTTCCATCCGCTAATCTAGAGTCGTCGCAGCGGCTCTTCACCTCGATGGCCCTAATGGTACATTGCTGGAGGCGACTCGCCGCCACCGGTCGCCTATCACCGGCGGATCTTACCCCGTTTCTCTCCCCCTCCGCTTCTAGATTTTACTATAAGCCGCCATACTTGAGTAATCAAATATTTCGTCATTTGTTGCAATTAGGGTTCTTGCAAGAGTTTTGATTCAGTTTTTTTTCCCCCATATCTGGTTAATCCTCCATTAGTATGGTGTGTTAAAACAGTGAAGGTGGGGATACCTGATTTTCTTAATAGCGTGGGGAATGGAATAGAAGCGCACGCTGCGAAGCTGGAGACAGAGATTGTAGACTTCAACAAGCTTCTTGTCACAAGGACACTTCGCCTCAAGAAGCTTGGCATTCCTTGCAAACACGTATTTCCTTTTTCTTCCCTGCTAACGCTCTCTTTCTCTAATGATTTTGCATGTCTTTGGGCTGATTGTTACTTCTCCGGCAAAATTAGGTAAAAGAGTGACTATTTAGAAGAACTTCACTAGAATTTTCATGATTTATTTAGCTGTAGAAGGTTTATCTATGATGTAGGATGTTTTTCATTGAAGCTCCGGGAAGAGATTATTTTTCATCTGTCTGAGATTTTATCAGGCATTACAGTCTTATTATTCTTAGCACTACTGAATTAACATTAAGTGTGTTGTAAGATCCATTCGAAGTCTCGAACCAAAAGTAGACTTTAAAAAGTCTTAACTAAGCCTTTTTGTCTGTGCTCGCTTAGTTTCAAGGGCTAGAAGAGGAATGTAATATTGATTGTTATTATTATTAATTTTCTTTTCTTTTTAAATTGGTGCAGAGGAAGCTTATATTGAAATATACACAGAAGTATAGGATGGGACTGTGGAGGCCTCGTGCAGACCATCAAAAGGTTTAATCAGGCTTGATTTAGAGATTGTAGCATCCAATGTTTTGATAGCTTTTTCATTTTTTTTTTAAGGAAGCAGCTATCTCATAGCATGTGTTCTGATTTTATGTAAGAAAGAGTCCTTTTTTTCTTGTGGAAGTGACATTGTTCATCCATTGATTCTGCTGTATACTACCTTATTTTTCTATGGATGTGACATGCTCGGATGTTAAGTTTGCAATAATTAGATTGATTTTGCTCATTATCTCTTCTTTTAAAATGATGCATCTATGCATTTCAACCATTCTAACCTTTTAATTTTTGATTCACTGTAATTAAATTTATATTTCTTTTTTCCCTTTTATAAGACTTATCCATGCATGACCATAATTCTTATAAGTGTTATTATGTACTTTTATTGGTTTGAAGGAAATTTGAATTGTTCTCCTTCCCCTTTTCAGGTTGGTGAGTCTACCTATAAAGCTAGGGCTGTTTTAGTTTTATGCACTCATTTTTGCTAGCCAAAGGCTTATCACTAACTAAATTTCAACATTCCCTATTCAGAAAAATGCTTTAACAAATATTGATGCCAACCAAGTTCAACCCAAATGTTAGGCCATTTAAGCTCACCTTGTTTCTACTTGCATATTTTGAAGCCTTTATGTAGATGGAGAGGAAGATGTGAAAGGTCAAAAGTCTACGGTAAATGATGACGAGTAGGAAGTGATTTGAGAAGAGGAGGACAAGACTATAGGAGAAGGATAACTAGGCTAGCAAGTCAAAGAAGAAGTTGATGGAGGAATAAAGGGGAAGAGGAGGGGGATTAAGTATTGTATAAGATGCCATGTGATTGCCTGCATTACTTGGACACTGCAAAAGGAATGTGGGGGTTTTCAAAATTTTTATGTTTGATTGTATGAAAAGGAATGCAGTGTAAATTTTGGTGAAGTAAAACTCACTAAGTAGTTTAATTTTGTTGATTTCGAACCTTGGTTGGTTTGAACAATTTTCAAACACATTGCTTAAAGTTGTTTCTGCTGCCTTCTGTGGTTGTTGTTTGTGATTGTCCGCTAGCCTCCACCATTATTTTCGCTCGACTATTAGTGCCACCCATTGCAGGTTGCCACCGCCAAACTTTACATTGATTTCATTTCTTCTAAGTGTTTTTTATCAACTTTAAGTCTTTAATCCTACAAATGATCCTTAGTTACAGTATGAAAAGGAAGGGAATATTCTTAATTCCTCTAGCTTTTCACATTAAATTTATATTCAAACCTACCATATCCCAACATTTCCATATTCAAATCTACCACCATGAAATAAAATTATATGAATTTATAAATACACATAAAATGAAAATGGAATGCACCGGTGAAAATGAAGTTGGAACTGGAATCCAGTTGGGTCGACGTGTGAATGAGTTTGTCTTTAATTGTATCATCTCTCTGGTCTAAAATTAATTCACCTTTAAAAGGTTGGCTCACTGGTACCCTTATAGGAGATTAGTTGCAATACTATGTAGCTTGTCTTGATAGATCCCTTAATCATTTTCTCGTGTATGATCACTCCATCGTAGGAAGTAGAATTGTTGTCTAATAGGTCTAGTTGTGATTTCATCCATGAGATCTACTTGATAGTATTGCAAAGGAAGTTGAAATCACAAACAATATTGGAATAGGAGACATTTATCTTAGTGGAAACTTCAACGGTGAATATACTTTTTGATAGTATCAGAGGCTCAAATATGCTTCAATGATGTAAATGATCTTTTATGTTGAAATATGACTGGCATTAAAATCTTAAGGTGATTGCATTAAAAATGCATTAGATACAATTTACTTCAGAATTTCTTGGAGGCTTGAAGGCAGACATGGAGTTTTTTTAGATATTTTACTTAGGAAGCGTTAAAAATGAACGCACATAAGAACATAATATATTTAATTTAGGGTGTGTTTGGGGCAGCTGCAGCTTATCCAACTTATCTTGATAATCTGGTGATAAACAACTTATCCGGATAATCTATCTCTCTGTTTGGTTAGTGCGTTTTGCAAACAGCTGATTCTGGATAAATGAACAATCTGCCCCTGTTCTTGATAAGCTGTTTAGTTGTTTGGTTCGTGCGTTTTGTAAACAACATATTTGCAAATTTTTTTGCAAATTTACCGACCTTAATGCAATCATAAAGGGGAGATAAATGTGAAGATTGAAAAACAGAAAAATACAAAATATTATTAAAGTTAAAGTTAAACTGTTAAAACATGAAAAAATATTTATATCACTTAAACATTAAACATTTCATAACACATCACAGAAACACAGTTACCTTAATAGGAAATACAACTTAACACACTAATATGTATTATAATGATACCCAAACAAGAAGAAAAGATAACATGTTAAAACAACAATAAAAAAGATTATAATGTTGACTTTAAAATGTAACAGCATATCACAGCCCATGCTATGATGTTGAAGATATAAATTAGCAAGGAGAGCAAAAGTCTAAAGAGAAACAACAAATAAAAGATGTCTTTTACTTTTCCATGTTTCATATTAGAGGATGAAAACATAAAAATCTAATAAAAATTAGGAAGATAAAAAAGTTGAGAAGCTACCTATCTTGTTCAGAAGCAAAACAATACGCTTATTTGGGTCAGTCTTCAATATCATATTTTCAATGTCAATACAATGAGTACCAAGGGGATCTTGAGCATCAAGCACCTCCAAAATTACATCTGATGCTTCTATAACTTTTACAATCCTTGTAGAATGTTTTCTCTGAATGATCTGAGGGATATCAATATTTAGTGAGAATAATGTTCATTGTAAATGCATGAAAGTAAGAAGCAATTTCCTTATCCAAAAAAATTTAAATGCACCGCCTCAGGTCAACAATCATTGTTAACTTATCAAGTACCGTAGTTTTTAGTTGCTGCAAGAACTTCTTCCCCAATTGTTCTATTAGAAAATTCATCATCTTTGGCAGAAGCTTCAGAAGCCAAATTCTCTATATCACCCCCGAGTAAGCCCAGTTTTTTTTTCATAGCCTGGAATGGCAAAAGAAATTAGCTATTTATTCATCCATATCCAAAATTTTAGGCAAAGAAATATAAAAGCATCCCAAAATCTACCACACATTTAGCTAAATAATAGCCTGTGTGACCTTAAAAAGTCAATTCATCTAAATAAACAGATTGATGATGACCACACTATCATGGTTGAATGTCACACAGTAAAATCAAATGCTCAGCATTCACATTCCCTGACTTCTTCAAGTGCCCTGAGTTCCTGTTTCTTGAACTGCCAATCATTAGGGATGCCCTGATCCTTCCCAACCTTCCGCTTACGATTCAATCCGAGCTTTTTCGCTTCCTTTGCTTTCTTCTTGTGATGCTCCTTGACCTTTCGGATAACCTTGTACTTCTTCTTAAGAGAGATTCTTTTACTTTTGCTCTCTGCGAAAAACAAAAATATTCAATTCATAATAGGATAGAGGAACGTATAGGTTCAAAACTGCAGAACAAGAGTAATTACGAAGAAGAGATTTGAACGTACTTTTGCTCCTCTTCATCATTTTTGGGTTGGCAGAAGAGAGGCGAAGAATAACCGTTGGAAAATCTAGCAAAGAGAGGGAAAACGAGGAGGCTTTTGGGCGAAACCGGCAGAAGGGGAGGCAAAGGGGAGCAGTTCGGCAAGGGACAGTGGCGAGGGCTTCGGTAGGCAAGGGTTCGGCTATGAATTTCTGGACGGGACAACGGCAATCCCTGTCAAAATGTTTCCCGAAACGCAGGCCGTAGGGCTGGACCTGCGGTCGGCTTTTAATGTAAAATACAAACGTCATTTCCCTATAAGCTGTCCTAACGCTCTATCCAAACGCTTAGGCGGCGTTTTGAAAACGCCGCCGGAACTAATAAGCTACCCCAAACGCACCCTTAATTTTTAGGGTGTTTCTACGTGCATCTACTATTACTTTTTATTCCATATTATGTCTAACAAAATGCATTCTAATATAAGAATGAAATCGGTGCATGTCCTATGAGAAGTATGCAACATTAAAAAAAATATGATAAAGGTATTTGCAATTTTATGTGTTATATGATTTTTTTTGGGCTCAAATCAGTACCAATTTATAAAGGTGATTTGCCAATTGTATGATTGAGATATGATAGACAAATATGATAGTAAGACTAAACCCCAATTGCCCCAGTTATCATTAGCAATACTTTTTAATAAGTTTTCCTGAGAGTTCAATTTATAATCATAGTTTATCTTCTAGTTTGTCAATGAAAGGAAGAAGAGAATTTCAAATTAGTTCCAAATAATTTTTATGGCGTTTTCCAAAAAGTCCTATAAACCTGACATACTTATCATAATCAATAGAACATGGAAAATTAAGTGATCAAATATCTCTTTAAAAGTGTTGTTCGACATTATATGCATCTTAGTTTTTGCAATGCAAGAAGTGAGACATTTGTTAGAATTGGTCAACAATTACAAATATGGAATCATGATACGATTAGTTTGAGGTATGCTTAAAGCAAAATCTATGCACAATTGTAGCTATGAAGAATAAGGAATTGTTAGAGGTGTTTATAATCTCTGGGTTATTTGATGGCCTTGTAATTCTAAAAGGTACTGCATTGTATGGTGATTCGAACAACATCTTGCTTTTTGGATGGCCAATCAAATCATTTTTCAACAAGGTCAATTCTCGTCTTAACCAACAGGTCCTGTATGTCCTACAAACATGATAGCATTTAATGACCAAATAAAAAGTAACCTAGGGAAGTACTAGGAATGCATATTTAGTAGCCTTATAAAGAATCCCATCATTGTTTGCATTAGATAAATGGATGAGTCTGACTAGAATCTTGAAGGCTAAAGAAAATTTTCTTTAAATTAGTTTATTATGGCAATTTAGTTTCAAGGAGTCAAAACAAGTATTGAAAAGTATATAGATTGAAGGGAGTGCAAACAATTGCTGGAATCAATAGCTTCTTTGTGTACTTCAGCTTGGTGGCGTCACTCAAAGAAATATTCTTGAAGATTTTCATTTAGCATAGCATGTACTAATTTTATGTTGAGAGCCAAAGTAATTGAGGGCTTCATGATTTGAATGGAGGACTTTTGATGAAATATATATTGCCATCAGTGATAAAGTGCTTGGACAACATCTAATTCTTTGTCAATATTAGAATATCCTTGATTTGCATCATTTAATTTTTCATTATAGTAAGCAATGGAGGGATTAGCTTGGCTAAGAAATTTGCCAATTTTAATACTTGGGACATTCTAGGCTATCTCAAATATTTTACTAAAGCTGAAGTAGTTTGAGGGTAGGGATTTAATTCATCAAAATTCTGATTAGCTCAAAAGTAATATTTGCAAATGATATACAATAAAATTTTTTTTTCCTATTTGATGGCATCTATTAATGGGGCCGTTATAATACTATCATTGAAGTATGGCTAGACCATCAAAATTCTGAACAGCTATTATTTTCAGTGTTTAGGTCAATCAAGCATAGTATTCACCTTAAAACATATCAACTATGCCCTCAATAGTGGCAAAATACCGATGAGTATAACATGAGTATAACTTTGGGATGCAACGCATCCATTCAGATTGATATATTTCATCATCATGAATCAAGTGAATGGAAATTTATTTTTAATAGTAATCTTATTGAAGACATGAAAACATATGCACATTCATCGTTAATAGAGGCCTTTGGTGTGGGAAGGGCAAGAATAACAATGCGCTAAGACTTTTCTCATTAAATCTTTTATATAATAGATCATAGAATTGGACTAAGCATATGGCATATTGGATACCAAACATAGCAGGTAATTTATCAAGGATTTTTTTTAGCTGTTATGTTTGGGAAGGGCATGCTTTTTAGATCTATGTTTAATTTATTATGTCATGAGCACAAGGATAATTCCGAGTGCAAAGTGTTGTAAAATCATGACCAACATGATTAATCTCGTTTAGAATATTTTATCAGAATTACTTAACAAATCTGTTGGTTTCTTGAAATGAGATGAAAGAAAAAACTTAAGAGAATTGCTGTAGATTGAAGGGAAAATTAGAACCACACACCTTTTGTGTAGCCTTAGAATATTTAAACTTGAAGCTAATAACAAACTTCACTTGAAAAGAC